TGTCTACTAGCATATGGTTCTTTTCACCAATTTTTCACACTTCTGTAAAAATATCAAGGGGTTTTTTACTCTCCTATTACTTGCACTCCTGTGTATATCCTTTTGCTATCTTTTGTCTTCTTATTCAATTATCACCTTAAAGTAGGGTCTGAACTGTCCATTTCTTCTCAAATGCTAATCATAGTATCTTGGCAGAGTTCCCTAAGAGGAGACTTGCCCCTTAAAAGTCACAAACAGCAGATGAGATGAGACACAGTATGTCCAAATTAAGAAGCAGTGTAGAGGCTGGACAGGGGTACCATAGGGGCTGGACAGTGGTACTGTAGGAACGCCATGCCCTGCAAGGCTGACTCACATGGGATAGTTGCAACTCATATCCAGACCTCCGTGAATATGCCAAGTGCACATGTGCCTATGATCTGGGGCTGGCTGAAGCGGAGGGTAGAGCACAGTGTCAAGACCCTACTGATGCTATCTGTCTGTCTGTCTCTCTCTTTCTTCCTCACAGAACAAAGAAAGAAAGACTTTGTTTAAAAAAAAAAAAAATCACCAAAAATCAGTGTTTCCTAGTTTTCTAATTCAAAACAATTGGGATTTGATAACTTTAATAAAGTCAGTCATTTTATAAACAATTTGCAATCAATATCATTCTTTATTTTTTTAAGAGAGGTTTTTGCTACAGGGCACGTGCGTTCTCCAGAGAGAGAGAGACAGAAAGAGAGAAAGCGAGAAATCTCCCCTGGGGGAATGGCCATGCCACAATCCCTTCTCCTCCAATCTCCTCTTGGGATCTTGGGCATGCACACACATGCGCCTGGTGTGAGTTTAAGCCACCAGGTCCAGGACCTGAACTGCGGTCGACTACATGGGAGTTCAGCAACATAGCCATTACACTAACTGCTGGTCCCCACAATCAACATCATCCTCAAATTTTTGTTGTATTGTTCCAAATATATTATTAATCTGCAAGTTTTCAAGGCTAGGATTGTTTGAGAACAATACACACACACACACACACACACACTTTACCCATATGTGTCTCGATATATTTAGAAGGGTTCACGTATACACACATACAAAATAAAAGAAAAAGAAAAAGCTCAGAATATCAATTCTAGATTCTGTCCTTACTCAGAGAAAAGAAATGACTGGCCGTGACTAATGCTATACAACCTGTTTTATTCTCAAACAGAAGGAGCCAAACCAATGCAAACATGTGTGGGTGAAACAAGTTTGGTTGGCTCCAAACAAAGGCTTATTTTTTAAGCACAGATGGTTGAATGGTTGCCTCCTCCAATGGGTTTCCTGCAAATGAAAGACAGATTTCTATTTCTAATCTATGCAAATATCTTACTCTGCAAGGCATCACAAAGACTAACTGTTTTGTGTCAGACACTGCAGATCCCAGGTGCTCTTGGAGATGCCAAAGCCCATCTCCACCTGAGATGCCTGCTAACTCAGAGAACAGGATGACCAGAGAGTTAGTCATTAACCCACTCCTAATGAATGCTCTTGAGGCCTCTGTGAAGCATTCCTCTGGAATCCTGCCCCACCACCCCTTCCCCTGGGCTGCTCTGCCTGGAAGGCAGTTTCAATATTCCCTTTGGACCTCAGATGTTTCTAAAACCTCCCAAGAAGGCTCAGATTCCCAAAGATTCTACATGACTGTCGCTAGCATTCCTCACCTTAAGATCAGCTCATCTATTCATCTCTAATGACAAATCCAAAGAACTTGAATACTTAAGAGTGCTATTCTGTCCAAATCAGGTCTTTACACTCTAATCCATATGCTGAATCACATTTGTGATGTTATTGGTAGCCCTCAACCTTACCAAGTATATATGTAATACCCTTTTTCCTTTCTTCTGCAATCAATTTTCCTTTCTTTACTTACAACACTTCTTTTCTATTACTTCTCCATCTCTCCAGCTTAAGTCTTTCACTCATTCTGACACCCCTTGGCACACTCCAGTTTTAGGGCCCCTTGGGAGCAACAAAAATTTTTGTAATGCTGGAGCACGTGCAACATGCTTCTCCTGCTAACTCCTCTCCTAATCTTATTTTAAACATCCTTTGCCATAAAAGAGCAGGCTATAACAGAAATCTACACAGTTTAGTTCAAGGCTATAAATGTCTTGCACAGTTTTAACATTTTTCTTTGTTCAATTTTTCTGATCAAATGACGGTAATGGAGCTTGCATCAAAACCTGTGCTAAGAAAGAAAATACATCTTTCCCTCTCCATTAGTTTTCCCTTAAATGAGCCAGGCTAGCTGAGCAAAAAGAAATTCTAAAGAGAAAGAAAAGAAGTCCTCCTAACTCCCACGCTTAGTAAGCACCACCACCAAACTTTCTTACTCTGTGTCTTGAATTTTGAGATCCAAATGATTTTGTTTCAGCTTATGAATATAAATATTGATAGCCAAATAATGCAGCTTTAAGTTTACTTACGGGGAAAATCTAAACTATAAAGAGTTTTGGAGGTTAACTAACTCCTTGACTCCCAAATTTGGATGAGTATCGGAATCTGATGGGTTCTGTTTACTTTCAACAGCACATCCTCCCGCTTCCCAGTCCTAGATATTCCAATTGAGACTTCTAGCACAGCTCTTGAATCCACATTAGTAATAAATATGGTGGGTAGGTAGGCTCTAGGAGGCCCTGGTCTGTTTGAAAATCACTGATCTAATTGAAGATCCTATCCAGTATGGCAGCCTCTTCTATAAGACACTCCAGAGGCTATTTAGTAAATGCCACATTTCCAGAGGCCTGTGCTCTAACCCTCTTATAAGTCTTATTGTTCTATTTTCATGTGGCTTTAGTTACTAGAAACTGTATAATGTTCAGCCAAAAAGCCAAAGTCTTTCAACTCCTTGGACTTCATCAGTTGTGGGACCTAATTTTGTGCCCCAGAGCTAACACAGAATTCCCTCCCCAACAAAAGAGTCTTCAAATTAACTAAGGGCACTACTGTGCTCTTGCATGACTTTATTTTTCTAACCTTAACACTTTAACTTCATAAAGCACGATTTCTGAGCCCCCCACCATTTTAACTCTTCTCTCCCAATAAGACCTTTACGGAATGAGTCTGTCTAAAATAACAACACTTCATTTTTCTTACAGACTGAAGTTTTTTCAATATGCACTAACTTATAGCTCATGCTTTGGCCTTGTCACTCATTGTCTCTCATTTAATGGTTGGCGAGTCAAGAATCAACAAGTATTAATACTTATTAACCTAATGCTGTGTTCCTAGCAGTGTGCACAGTACCCAAGAAGCAGCTGAAAGCCAGCGGAAATTGTTCCATTTTAAGAAGTTAATAATTTCTTAAAGCAGCAGGATGGAAGTAAGTGCAATAACCTGAACACAGTGCAGGGCAGAGTTATAACCAAATATTTCAAATGAATCTCCCGTGAAAGGAGGAACACCGGGTTTCCAGGATCTGACTATAAGCACACTCATGGCCTGTGTCAGCAGGCGCACCATCCATTTAACAGCAGATTTTAATAAAAATGAAAACAGAAACCACCACCTTAAGATGTATATAAAAAATTTCAAGTGCATCCTTGTTTCAGAAGCTTAAAATCTAAATCCAACTACACAAGTGAGAAACAAGAACAGGATTTCTTCTTCTAATATCACAAGCTTAGCTTCTCCAGCATTCTGAATGCCAAGACCCAGGTAAAAATCAAAATGTAGAGGGTTTACATGGTTCTCTTTCCTATGGGAAACACATATTTGATGACTCAATCCCCAAGTATTTAAATGGAAAACTCTTACTGGTAAGTGAACTGTACAAACATCAACAAAAAGGTACTTACTCAGGGGCCAGCAGGTGACATAGTGGTTAAAGCACTGGGCTTCCACATGGCTGACTACAGTTGAGGACTTGTAGTCCTAGACCCAGCAGCTTAAAAAAATCATGCTGTGGGCATGCGCATACATGCCTAAATGGAGGAGAAGGAATTGTAGCATGGTCATCCACCCAGAGGGGTAATTTCTTACTTGCCCTGTTACTACTCTCTGTCTCTCTCCAGCAAGTGCAAAGGCCTTTCTTTTATTTTTGTAAGGAAAAAAAAAAGGTATTTGCTTTATTCATGGAATTGTAGTCTATGATAGGTCTTCAAAAATGGTGGTTAAAGGTGCTGGACTCCAACATGGCTGACCACAGTTCAAGTCTCGGACCTGGTGGCTTGCTTTCTCACTTCCTCTCTCTGTCTCTCTGATCAAACTGGAAAATAATAATGATAATAATAATAAATAAAGTTAAATCTTTTAAAAAAAGTTTGTAGAAAATGCACATTATACAAAAAACTAAGAATGAATTTTAAAAATGTTGTCTCAGCAAAATAAACATACTTTAATTTTCCCACAAACTTTGAAGTACGCTCCTAACAGAACTTGATGAACTTATAGGAAACTCTCACTTTATAGATGAAAGGGAGCAATACTGTTTCAAAGATGGCAAGTGATTTCTCTAAGGTACAACAGAGAGGGACCAATACCAGGTCTCCTCTACCCTTGTTGGCTTCCTGTTCTCTCTTATTTAATGTAAGACAGTCAAAACACTTCCCCTCTCAGTGTTTTTCTCTTTAACTTCATTCTCATCTTTAGTGACCTTACTAATCCTCAAATCCAAGGTCTGATGGTTCATTTTGTTTGGGGATATTGTGAGGAAAAGAATAGGCAAAGCATATTAAGGGACCTTTATTAAATACTAGTTTACCAATTTTATCAACAGTCTTTTATGCTGCAGACACTTAGCTCAGTATAACTACTGCCCTACCAGTGTTACAGAGAACTAATGGAGTTAGCTGCATGATTCAACCGAGATGCTAAAGCTGCACAGCAACTAGCAAACAATCTCCAACTAGCCCACCTCTTCCCCCACAGCGCATGCACACACACATCCCCCCTAAGTCAACCGGTTTGCCTATTTCACTGGAAGCCTCACAGTTAGTCCACGCCCTTACGTGGAACACATGGGGAAATGCACCTACCTTGTGGCCTCTTGCTGAAGCCATGACACATTTGGCACATAGAACATGACTCCGAAGAAAAGCAGAGGCTCATTAGCAAATTTGTCCAGATGTTTCTTCAGAGGTTTCTCCAGCTCCACCCATCGTGCTTGCTGGCTCTTGCTGAGAAACCAAAGGCCGAAGTAGTGTGTCTGGATAAAAGAGGAAGACAACATAGTTCATTCTTACCACAAGCATCCCGAGACTACACAGGTAACACGACCTCGGGACCCTGTGTCACCTTTGCTTCTCCAGCCCATGCACAAGGACCCAGTTTTTGCTTTCTAATTTTGGGACAAATCTAAAAGAACCTCGTGTATCCAGATGCAGCACAGTTCTGCACTGCTACTGTTTGTGCATGTGGGTAGAAATGTACCTGTGTTGGGTAAGGGTGTTGTGCAGGGACAGTGCTGGGTTTTCCCTCTGATCTGGTGGTTGATTTTCTGGAGTAGCTTCTGAACGTGCCACGATCACACGTGGAGAACGCTGGCAAAGGCCACCACAGGGCTTGCACCTGCTGCAGTGTAACTTATTACCCAACTTCTAAGACAAAACCTTCTGCCAACTGAAAGTTTCTGCATTGCAGAGTATTTTCACACAGTCCCAGATTTTAACTGGAGATTTATTTGCTTCTTTTGAGCTTTAACGAAGCACTTTAAAAAGCATCGCCTTCTATTGCTTTATTATACATGAAACGGTGGCAAATCTCTCTCCGTATCAAGCTTGGAGAGTGGAAGGATCTCCTCTTCCCAGCTGCCACAGGAGCCCCTGGTGGCTCTTCTTGGCAGATTATGGAGGGATTTGATAGATGAAAGTGAGATTTTTCACCCTTAGACTTGAAGCCTCAACCAGTTTCATTTTGAACAACATGCTAAATGATTAAAACAGGTACTTTTATGCACTCAATCCTGCCTTTATATTAATTCATGCTAGGATTTCAGGATTAGCACAACAATCACCAAAAATAGATCACTGCTTTTGAAGATTCTTTTACATTTCAATTATAGCCTAGAATGGTTTACTACACACCTGGAAATCTGCCTTCAAAAGAACGTTTTCATTACAATGTGCAATTTCCAAAGGCACTCTTCTGCCCGTGGTCCCACTCCAGCTGGCTGCCCCCTCGACTCACCACAGATCAATCCCTGCCACGACCCTACCAAAATCTCGAATGCAGCTTCCACTGTGACTTTACTAGAAAACCAGATGTGTCCTTGCCTGCATAAAGCTGCACACCCAGATGCTTTAAAAGGATTGATTTGTAGATGGGAGGAATGATGTGATCGGTATTCCTCTGTGATCTTCTGAAGGGCAAGTTCACATCACAAACCTATGTATTTCTTGAGCCACAAAATGCTAACAGAGCAATGGTTATTTGCTTGAGGGAATCTTGACCCTCTGGTTCATTTCCTAGCTTCTGTGAAGCTATGAGTTGTTCCCAGACGAATGATGAAAAAGAAGAAATGAAATATGGAATGTGGCTGAAGAGAAGGAAAGCAGGCTCTGAAGTCAGCCTACCTCCCAGCCTTCACACACACTCTCGTTAACTTTGCACAAGCTACTGAGCCTCCCAGCCCATTAGTGCTTTCTCATCTGTAAACTGGGGGCAATGATTACAACTCTCTCCCACAGGCTGCAAGGAGTGGAAATGAGATAATGCTCCTCCACCATGTGCATGGCATGTGAGGCGTACACACAGGGTGCCCTCTGTCACTTCGACTATGCCACTGCTACTACTGCCTCGTGAATCTTTTCCATCAGCACTGCCTGTGGCATCCCTGCAAACTGGAGAATTAGAAAACAAAGGTTACCTGGAAGTAAATGAGAAAGAGCAGGCGAAAGTGAAAATAAGAAAGTCTGTAAATAATAAAGATCTCTACAAGGCATAAGAAAAAAAAGCACAGAGACGCACCTCCCTGAAGACTGTCCTGAGAGTCTCATTAGAGGTGTTAACAGGACACTGGAACACTGCTCTGATGCTGTCCTCGGGGATCTATAATGTGGGCTTTGGCTAACCTTAGAATGAGGCCATTTGAGAATCTAATTCAATAAACTTGTCCAAAAGGGTTAAGGTCGTTCTGCGCACACTGAATTCCTTTCGGGAGCCAAACAAGGGTATTCCACTGGATCTTAGATTACTAGGAGGAAGCCTGCATATAATACATGAGATAATATATGTAAACTGTAACGTGCTATGTAATAATTATTATAGTTGGGAAAAAGACCTTCTATAAGCATGAGTGGAGGAAGGGAGAGAGAGCAAGTCTCACAACTACTTAATAAGCTAACCATGATGCATGATCTTTCACTAAAAGCAGTTTTGACATTTGGGAGATATTTTTATGATCCATTCTTCATTCAAATTACAATAGGCACTCAAATTAGTAACATTCAAGTTATAGAGGGTCCACAGTAACTGCATAAACATTCTACAATGGACTTTTAAAAATAGATTTGCATTGCTTATACCTTGAAAGATGGCATTTTAAATGTTCCTTTCTCATTCCTACCTCCAGATAATTAAGCCAGATATGACCTCCTACTCCCAAAACACACCCAGAGGAAAAACAGTCCATGGATCACACAGACACGTGCACATATATGTAGATTTACAACTACAGGTGTGGGCACACACAGGCACACATGCATACTGAAAAGAGAACAGTGAGGTTTACGAGAAACAACAGTAAGGTAATAATCTTGAGTCATAATTAATATGACAGAGCTCTAAATAACAAAGCAAACCACTTCTAATGGAAAACCGTCATTCATGGCACAAGACTGTTTTTTGCTGCTGCAATATGGCATTTCCAGAGGACACAGAAAATACTCACCATGTAACTAACCAATAAAATAATTATATAACTACTCAAGAAACAGGGTTTTCAGTGCACAGGAGAATTGGGGGAGATAGGTCATCTGGACAATGCAGTTTGGACAACCCAGGCCTCTTCAGAATATCCTGATTTTAGAAGCGCTGAATCCAGTTAGCTAGCTAGCAAGAAAACTGCTCTATGAGATTCCCATCCCCACACTGGTTTTTGTTTTGTTTTGTTTTTTGAGAGGTTTTTGCTATAGGGTACGTGAGCTTGCCAGAAAGACAGACAGAAAGCGAGAAATCACCCTCCCAGGGGGGATGGCCACGCCGCAATCCATTCTCCTCCATTCTCCTCTCAGGATCTTGGGCACGCATGCACACATGCCTGGCGTGAATTGAGCCCTGGACCCGGTGCTCAAACCACAGTAGACTACATGGGAGTTCAGTGACATAGCCATTATTCACATTGTTTTTCTTGTTGTTGTTGTTGGTTTTATTTTGTTTTGTTTTGCTATAGGGCACCTGTGCTCTCCAGAAAGACAGAGAGACAGATAGCGAGAAATCACCCCCCAGGAGGGATGGCCATGCCACAATCCCTTCTTCTCCATTCTCCTCTTGGGATCTTGGGCACACATGCACATGCACCCAGCGAGAATTTAAGCCACCAGGTCCGGGGCTCAAACTGCGGTCGACTACATGGGAGTTCAACAACATAGCCATTATGTTAACTGCTGACCCCCCCACACACACATTGTTTTTTGAAGCCATGCCCAAAGTGACCGTCTCCATTCTCACCCTCCTTCTCTTATTCTTTCTCTGCTTGAGGGTAGAAAGACCCTGGCTCAAAGTCTTCTCCTTTCCTCTCTATTCCTGCTTATACAACACAGCACAAGTTTATTCTGCCATGCCTCAGAGTGCCTCACAGGAAATGGAATCAGAGCCTAAGCTCTCACTTCAACTAACATGTGCACTAATCAACTTCCTGTGTATTATCTAAGGGACTATTAATGCCGTCAAGCCCAGCTGAGACCACACCAGGCCTGTTCGTAATTGACTCGCCAATTTAAACTCCAGCTCAGTTTTGGAAGCTTCCCAACTAAACGCTGCCACATGGTCGAGGAAAATGTGATGGATGATTCCAAACAGAAACCACCTCCTCCACGGCCAAAAGGATCCCCTCACACGACCACCTGAGTAAAGGCCTGGACTGTTTAGTTCATGTCTGAGGCACCAGTGGTAAGCCAGGCCCATTCAATCTTCCCATTACCCCTGGGCAAGATTTAAAGCCTATTTTATTTCTCTAGTTTTCTTAAGAAAAGTAGAGCCTAACTCTGGTGCCAAGATTCTGCGTTAAGTTTATTATAATGATGAGAAAAGATGACAGAAGCAGCAGCTCTCAGAGGTGTACCACATCTCTGAACCAATGACTCTGCAGTATGATGAGACAATGTAGGAAAACAAACAAAAATGGCATTTTTATGTGATTAGTTTCTGGTGTATTTAATCTGGAGTCTGCCCTTTCTTTTATTTTTTTTAGATTTTATTCATGATAGAGAGCACATGTGGACGAGGCAGAGCATAATCCCATGACAGGGTCTTGTCATGCGACTGTCCCCCCTTCCCTGGCCATCCATCTCATCAGGATCTTGGGCGCACACACATGCACCTGGCATGTTTTTAAGCTAATCCTGGGATCTGAACCACAGCTGGCAGTGTGGCTTCTAGCACTGCAGGTTAGTTTGCTATAAAAGCTGGGCCGGGGGTTTGCATTTTAACAGATACAGCACAAATGTCGGCATGCACTCGAAAATCTGCTAGTTCCTTCAGGGGCAGATTGATGAGTGAATAATTTAGTGTCAATATGTCCACCTTTTGGTCTTATGAAAAGATTCTGGGAATAAAGGCCTTGAAAAACAGTGTGGAGAGCAAAGAATACATGAAAAATCACTGTACTTTCTGCTCAATCTTGTTATGAACCTAAAACTACTCTAAAGTAATAAAGTCTATTAAAAATAGTTTAGGATGTGTTTATTCATTTATTTGTAAAGAGATGGTATTATACCCCTCACAAGCTATCAATAGAGAAAGCTTTATTCTATATTTTTAAGACAGGGTCTCACCATGTCATGATCCTCCTCCAGCATAGCTGAGACTACAGATATGCAATACCACGTCTGGGTCCATATTAGACACAGTCTTGCCATGGTGCTCAAGATAACTTCAAGCTCACCACCCTCCTGCCTCACCTCCCAAAGTGGCTGATTACAGGTATATGCCATCTCATTCGGCCTTTAGGTTAAACTGGGATTCGAACCTGGGCCTCCCATGTGGTCC